GTGCCAGTTATGTACAAACTGTAGAACAACCCTTTCTCGGCGCATCATTGTGTGAATGAGAAGAATTGGTGTCACTTGCCGTCCCCAAGTCTTCACGAAGTACCTTTGACCACCAACTTACATATGCATGGGTCACGGGATTACTCTTGAACTCGTCCTTGGCTGGCAGGGTGATATAAGCATTTGTGCATGAATAGGTACAAGACTCCCAATGCATATACACGGCTTGCAAGGATTTCGGCTGTGTATTTTCCTTCAGCTTGCCTAGCACATGTTAGACAAAACCAAATAGCCTGCTGAAACGGTGAGGGTTATATGGCTGAACAATATATCGGTCTCCTTGCCGCAAAGAAATATATTCTATGCAAAGACTAGTAAGATAATACAAGTATGAGAAACGAAGATGAGAATCATCTATGAGGCCTTGCCGCGCCGAGCCAACCTTTGCTAGATGGTGCATTCTCAAACCTTCACAGCTTCTAAACAAAGCTCGCGCTTGCAAATCATCAAAGCTCTTTGTAGAAAGCACACCAGAGTACTTTGTCATCAAAGGCCCCAGCTTGACTGAAGTTGGTGAAGAAGGCCCCAACTTGTCTAAAGTCGACAAATAAAAATGAGTGCTAAAGTACTCATTGAAGGAAAAATTTTGTCCTAGCTAAGAATATGTGAGAACATTAGAACACATAAGCAAACTAATAACACTTTAAAGTAGGCATGCATTCAAAAACAATTCTAAAACCCATGACTTTCAAAGCCTAGTGAATGGTGAACCACAAGACTCTTTAACAACATTGAAGAGAAGAAAGGATTTTGATATTCATTACCCTTGAACCTCATCTTTGTTTACACAAGGGATTCACCCAAGTAGAGGGCCTTCAAGTCACCTCATAGCTCCTTAGATCTTCCTCGTGATTTTCTTCCTTTGATACTCCTTTGCTAATTGAGGATGTGACGAAAGGATCTCCAAGAACACCAAAAGTTTGGTGTCTCTAAGTCTCCACACCAAGGATGAGCTGTGAAGATGAAATGGATGACTTAGAGGAAGAAAGATTACTAGCTATTTTCCCCTAAGTGGTTGGCCTCTATAGAGAAAAAGGGAGAAAAGGTTTCTCTTCTTTGCCTCAAGAAAACCCTAGTGAGAGAATGGCTATAAAGTTGCCTTTATACCACCTCACATGTGAGTGGCAAACTTGCAATTAACCCAAGTTTGCTCCTACTCACCCTTGGCTGGTTTTGACTTTGTTTTTGGGTTAATTTCTACCTAGTTTTAGTTGTCACATAACCTAAACTCAATGGGCCTTGTGGACCAAAAACCCTTTTGGGCCCTGAAACCCAAAACCAACTTAAAAGCCCAATACAAACCTTTCGTAAGGTTAATTAACTAATTAATTAATCTTGACCATTCTCAATTAAACTATTTAATTTCTTATCTGTCTCATTTATATTTCTTCACTTTCATCCTTACTTGGTGTACGATCCATTAGGTTCCAATTAGCAAGGTAGTGGGTGATTGTTACTCTTAACGATCGATTGTGAATTGAAACTACATTTCAATTCTCCCTTTGATGAAGATTAGTGTTTGCTAATCCTCAAGGTTTCCACAAACCATGAGTGACACCTAGCAATATGTCATGGCTACCCAAGCTAAGTAGAAGTGGTTGGAGAACCTATCTAGTTACAATTACAATGCAATATGGTCTTTCTCTAATACAATACTCTTAATCACATTGTTTGAGTGAAAGTTTGTTTCATGTCTACTATCCAATGTGATACTTCTCTATATGATTCAATTGAATATGATTTGGAACAAACTTCCTAAGTCATATTCGAATGCTTTGGCCAAAGACTCCTAAATCATATCTCAAAGTATTCTCCCTCCACCATGGAAGGTTAGAGATCCCTTGTTGTGCATTCATATGCCTACATGACTAGATAGCTTGACCCCAACAATGTTGTGGACACTCTCGATGGAATGCCTTTGACATGATCAAAGATTAATGATCTAACCATTAAACATCTATGATGCCTTAGGTCAAAGGACTACTTTGCATATTCCAACTTATGAGTTCTTACATGACATGTATGTTCGAACTCTCTTTTGATCGTTGTTCAGTGTACTCGATTACCTTTTGAGCACCTATGTGTTTGTCTCAGTGTCCAACACTAAATGACTTGAGACTAGTCATACTCACGTTTGAGTTAACATAACACATACTAACCTTAGCGGATTGTTAATTCCCAATTGGCAATTCTATGGCTAGGAACGTTTTAGGAATGAACATAAGAGAAAGGTCTCGTTAATCTAACTTACTTAGATCACTTCTCTCTTAGATTAAATACATTGCTTGGATTCCCTTATTGCTTAAACACATAATACAATAAATAGTGATTAACAATAAGCTTTGCCCTTCATTAAACATATAATAGTTTAACACAATAAGTATTCCAAAAGTTATTACATCGAATGAGTGGCTTTGTGGGCATACTTCCAACACTCCCCCAACCAACCGTACACATAATGGTAGGGAAGTACCGCAACACGATCTTCAGTGCTCACTGAGTTCGAAACAATACTCAACCCGTTGTAAATGTTGGCTAAAACCAGAATAGCAAGGTTGAAAGATTCACCTGCAGTCATCTTGCTAGCCACTTTGAAGACACCAGGGCAGATAAAGTTGACGTCTTTCGGGAAAACAAATTTACAAAGCCAACAAGCTAAGAGAGCGGCTAGGTAAGATTCTTTCACGTGCTCTGATGCTACACCAAGATCCTCAAACACTTTCACATGCTCAGAGGAAAATTGTAAACAGAGATTGTAACCCTGCAAATTCATCATTACAAATCTACTTTGTACACATGTTCTCGTTTCATTCGTTACAGAATTTTCGTGTTTACAGACACTCTCCACTCTCTGAGAATTAAAGAGGTTCATGCATTCCACACAGAGTAGGACTTCTATGGCATGATGATACAAAGACATGCAAGTTTTTATCCATATAGTGTTGGATCCTTGACACAAGATACCATGATGATAATGTACTCGTTTTATGTAAGTTGCTCTATTCCAAAGGGTCACAATACCAACCACCGCCCACTAAATCCAACCACTTTAAACTTCTTCCTTGATTATCTTACATTTGAAAAATCCACAATGCATTGTCAATCAGCTTTCAACCTTCTTCTCTGCACTTCTCTTACACTTTCTTCTCTTTTCCCCCATGGTCTCTCTCTCTCTCTCTCCAAATACTTACTTGGGTGTTTTGACTTGGTTAGTATTGATATATATGTTGCAGGATGGGGAGCAAAATGCAGTACCAATGAGGGAGCTCCAATAGTGCAACAGACCCAAGTGGGGCGGTGGAAGTGAAAAGTGCCCAATGTGCCCAATCATCAACGTTCACTTGAAGTGTGGAAGCTTTCCTCAAGCTCTGGTGAATCCCAGATAGCTCCAATTGCTCGCGTCGATGATTGTGTCCTCAAGTTAACACTGCCCTGCCCTTGGCACCTTTGCAGATGTTTTCCTTCAATTACTCTCACCAATGTTTTAAAAGGCTCGCCTCACACCTAGGCGCCCTGTGAGGCTGGGCTTGAGGGTTACCATCTTTGTTTTGAGGGAGTGGGCGGAAGGCGTTGGAGCCGCCTAGGCGCGCCTCAGGGGATTTTTTTTATTTTTTAATACTCCCAAACCCAAATTTTGGGTAGGTTTTAACTACCTCATACCTCTTCCTTGCACTATCATCTCTCTGCCTTGTTTTTTATTTTTATTTTTTATATAAAGGATGTGTGTGCCGTCTACGTGCACTGTTATATGTGTGCTCATTGTGCTTTTCATCCTCTATACGTGTGTATATGTATTTATAATATATGTGTGTGCTCAGGGTGATTATTGATTAATAATCTTTTTTTTAATATAATATATGTGTATGCTCAGTGCATATATTAAAAAATTTAAGTCCCATGAGGCTTCGCCTCACGCTAGGTTGGGCTATCCCTTGGACGCCTCGCCCACACCTCACGCTTTTAATACATTGACTCTCACCAAAATTATCTCGTGTATCCGAAAATATGGTATTTTCAACGAGTGAGTAAAAATAAAAAAAATAAAAAAAAACTAGTTAGTATACCCTGATTTCTTTTGCTTTTAAATAATTTGATGTTTCTTGCAAATTTAAGCAGTATTTGTTGATCAACCAAGTTGATGAAAGAAGTAGCTTTAAACTTGCAATATTAACTCATAATTTAAGATAAAAGTAATGTACAGAATGACTACGAAAGTGAAAAACAGGCTATGTGCGAAGATGAGGGTTTCGGATGCTACTCATTTCGATTAATTTAGGGTAAAATATCGTTTGTATTACGGCCGAAGTTGTTTCATAGGCAAACCCTTTTTCAACCTCAACCCATCCAAAATTATGGCAAACATCAGCTCAGGTGTTGTTTGGGGCTTATCTGTCTTTTGTTGGGGTTTATCATTGGATTTTCCGCAATCATTCTCAAGTTTGTCTTTGATAGTCTAGCCTGCCAAGAAGTCCAATTTTTTAAACAATATTCAGCGTTTGATTTCTTAGAGTCAATTTTAAAGTGTATCTTCATATTTCATTTCCAAACTACTCAATAATCCTGGACTACTGAAGAAAAATTAAGTACTCTCATTGTAGCCTACGAAGTTATAATTTATTTTGGTGATGTTGTCAGGTGCATATCACTTACCGCCTAACTTGGGACTACATTGACTAGGAATTTATGGCCTTTGGACGGAACACATCAAAAGAAAATCGAGGAACATAACTAACAAGAAAGTGCAAGAGGTAAAGGAAAAGGATGGCCAAAACGCAAAACATTAAATTTTCAACTAGTTCAGTAAAGTTACCACAACTGTAAGTCTGTAACGCAGATTTACCTCATTCGAATATACGGGTTTGGGGATTTAAGATGTTAACTTTTGTTAATGTGAAACTTAACGTGCCTATGGTATGTGCTAGATGAAATTAGACCTGATATGCGGGCAATTCATCTCTGCAATACAAAATCTGAAGCAATAACTGTCAAGTTTAACAGCGCAGCCCTCGAACCAGTAGATCTAGCAACAAAAAGGACACATGTACTAACGATATTATGTACAATCACGTCAGGAACTAAGCCGAGACAATTCAAGACTTGAAGCAAAATACAATATTCTCAAGCACTTTGAAGCTATAACCGCTCATAGATCTCCATAAATGCACAATGGGCGGAAAAATATAAATCCACAGCAAAGCTTCAAAACCATAAGTCTATCCTAGCTTTTCTTTTCACCTTCGGTGTTAATCTAGACCCGCTAATCACAACCTTTCTATACACCACCTCAAAATTAATTTTCATAATAGTTTCTCTATTTTTTAATTTCTTTTATCTTGAATTCTGGCTGTCAGGATTTTGTTTTAGCTATGTCTCTTCACTAAACTAGACCGTGCAGCAGCATGGTTAGCAACAAGAAGATTATAGCCCATCGGGTATTCAAATAGGAGGCAGAAGAAGGAGAAATATAGTGGGAACCTACTAAGTGCACTGTTCCATTCTGTTCATCCTGTACTTTAATACTCGACGAGCCTGAAATTGACCACAGAAAAGTTCAAATTAGTAAAGAGAAAGGAAACCCACATTTGACAAAAGTGTCTAACACACACGTACTCATAGTACATGAACGATACAACCTGCATAAATATATTTTACACTGATTTACATTAAGAACAAAAAATAACACGACACTCACAGTTATATTCAGTCCATCCAATGACCTGATTCTCAAGATCATACAGGACTAGCTTGTTCGACAGTACCAAATCTGCAAGAAACACTTGAAATGATCAAGATCGCCATGAATTTCATGCAACTCTCTCATTTCTTGCTCTTGTTCATAGAAAAACCAACGTATATCATGCCCATTTAAACTCTACAGACTTGTACATACCCTGTCATTAGTTGCATTTGAAGATTGATTCCACATGACTACAATAGCATATGGTGAAGACTGATCATATTTACTTACAATATTATGCTTTTTATGATATCTGGAACCATGGTATAGAGCTAAACCCAAAATTATTCATTATTAAACCAAATTTTACATCAAATAAAAGAAAGTTATGGACATAAGGTCTAAGTAGTACATTTTGTTCAATTGTCCATTAGCAATTTCTCGTTGGCATCCCTACAGTGAATCTCTATAGACGCCCATCTTACCCTAAAGTAAATGTAACTTTGAGAATCATAAGTATCAATGGCTATCACAGCAACGGTGTGAGAGTCAGCATGAACTGTATTAATGTAACTTTGAAATAAGATATTTCTATTGGCAGTTTGTTCTTGTCCATCTTTCCTTTTACCTTTCCTCTTTGTTTCTTATAAACAAACCATAACAATCAAGACACCCCTATGTGACTCCTCTATTTACTAGATTTCTCTTGACTATAAATCTTTAAAAGAAAATTGATATTACAATTACTTACAATACCTAAGAAAGTCCTGCCTTGAACTTCAGACTATCAGTTAAACTGAAAATAGCTATCTAATGATTCTAGCCCTTTTATTTTGGAAGTTCTATATTACTCTTACAATTACTTACAATATCTATATAAATACAAAAGTGGGAAGTCTTACCTTAAACGCTGGAGTATCAACTAAACTGAAAATAGCTATTTCTAACGATTCTGGAACTTTTATTTTGGAAGTTCTATATTTACTCAAGTAACTGAAATGTCACTACTTAAAACTAAGAATGAAACAAACAAATTTTTGAGGTTTACCTCCCAAAAGAGTCAAGTTCTTCCTATCCCTTGATTGCATCCCACTGTTTTGCCAACCAATACACCAAAAGCCTTCCTGTACAGTAATTGATTGTAGTAGAAGAAACAGAAATCAGAAATTATCAAAATGAGAGGGTAACAATACTCGCATTAATAACTCAATCAATATTTATCATACTTTCAAAAACAAAAATAGTAGCAAAGAGGAGAAATATCCTTTTTATTTTTTTTATTTTTTATGGACTCTACCTAACAGAAGTGTTGTCACTAATAACAATAAAGTTCATGATTGGGTACCAGATGAATAAGGATGCTAGCTGGGGCCATAAGCTAAACACAAAGAATACTAAAATCCAAAGCCAATAAGTTGGAAAAGATATGAATGCAAAACAAGCTAGTCATATGGGTAAACCTGAATAAGAAAAACATATCAACAAAGCCTGAAAATAAAAAAAAATAAAAAATTCAGTTTAATACTTACATAAGGGAACAAATAGTCATGTGGATAAACCTTCAAAGAAAGTGAATTTTCAAAATAAAAGGTGACCGAAGGAAATCCATCATCAACACTGCAATAAGAAGAAAAAGGTACAAATATCAGGAAAGCATCCTACACTATACCAGTGTCCTGCACTATACCAATTTATTTATTCTGAATAAGAAACACAAACATAATGCACAAGCATTATATGAAAACAAAAAACTGACAGTCACTTAGCAAATATCTAATATCTGTTGATTCTGTTCCAAAGGAACAAGTACACGATCATGAATAGATTGCTTTGTATCCACACAGGAACGTATTTACTTATAAACCTTTTAACATTTACGGATGGCGCATCCCTTCAGGACTTACCATTCCAGTTAGCATTTAAGCACTTATATAGAGATCCAATCAGCATTTTCATTCTAGAATAATATATAACTCCAAACAAATCTTAATGACTCAAACATTCAAGAAACTGTAAATAATAAAATTTCAAATTTCAATACAATACAACTTTGTTATCTGCTAGTATCTCCTAAACGAAAATTCACAATGGAATACACCCAACCTTCCTGGATACTGAAAGCATGTATATTCTCCGTGAACAGTTTGAACATTCAAATCATTCTGCTGAGCGATAATCTAATAAGAAAACATTTCATCAATACCGATGTCAATATTCACAACGTAAAAAAAATCATAATTATGAATGGGAAATATTAAGGATAATCTCCAAAAGAGAAAGGTCTTGCATATCACATACCTTACTTACTAAGGGCTGATAAATCACATCGGGAAGATAAGCCAATGTTGTGCCACTGTCAATTATTGTGCCTTTTCTATCTCCCGCTTCAAATAAATCTGGTGGAAGATTTAGAAAAGAACGGCCAACTTGAACTGATTTCATGTTTACATTGTAGTGCGGCCTAAAATTTTTATAACAAACTGCAGCTTAATTTTCCAACAAAACAAAAGCCATTTTTTTTGTGACATTCTCATCGATGCAATAGCAACTGCAAATTTTATGCATGAACATGTAGGAAACTATTAGATGATATTCTACTTTTTGAGAAAATATAGAAGTCATAATATTTGATACTTTTTTTTTAAGGTCATTAAAAGCATTTTTAGAAAAGAAAATGCAGGGATAACAATTATATTTAGCAGGTGACAAGAAGATATTAGACATTTTTCAGAAGAAAATATGAATGAGAGAGTACGTAGATAAGGTTTTCTATCCTTCTCCTGTCTTCTTTGTTTTATTGCCCTTGAATTACTATAAATCAGAATTTATCTTCAACAGTCTAAGAGAACAAGTCGAATTGAATTGCTGTTACAGTTTATAATATTTTATATGTTTAAAAACTTAATAAGATTAAATGTTTGCATTGCTTGCTTGACTTCTTGGAAAGCTTGTCTTTTAATCTGAGTCATATTATAAATCTGATGATTCTGGTCTATTTTATACATACATAACAAAGAAAGAAAAATTCGAAACACAAAATACCACTAAATTTTGGGAATAAAATGTATTAAGTAAAACACTGGTTTTATCTAGCTAGAAAACGAGCACAAAATACCACTTAAATGAACATAAATAAAATGACTGAAAACATTACAATATCAAAACAAAGAATAGAACACATACTGATTTGGTACCAAGGGAGTCATGTTAACTTTTGGTTGTACAACACGCCCAATAGCAAAGATACCACCTCCATTCTTTCCATCTAAGCAATGAGCAAACATCTTCTTCACTTTCCCAGATGATGCTAGCTGTGAAATAATTGAGGAATTTGATTTGCCAAAACCAAGTATTCCATCCAGTGCTCCTTCCCCGGATGAGCCTAGATCACCAGATTGCGTAGCACCACACCTATTGCAGATATGTCAAAACAACCATATAAATTCCAACAACATACGCATACACATATACGTGCACATGCATTTGGGCACACAAACAAGAGCAGACATTTGTGTGTGTTAGAGAGATTGTTTCCTCCTACAATCATACAACTGCTTGTCCACTTCCTTTGATACAAAGTAATTGATGAGAATGAAGCAAGTAGGTAGAATATCATTGCTCAGCAGGGGACAAGCAGTCAACCCAAAAGATGTAAGAACGAAAAACTCTGCTGTCTTAATTACACAGTTCATCAGCGCAAAAAACAGCTATTTGCTTTACTTTGACCACTTTTGTAACTATAAAAGTATTCTAGAGCTCGCAGAAATCTCCAGTCAAAGCCATCATGTGCCTTGTTGAAATCAAATTTAAACACTAAGCCTTCATTTTCTCATGATTTTCTGTCCACCAGTTCATCATAACACCAGACCCAAGATTTTCCAACCATTCCCCTTGCGAAACCAAGATTGTGTCGTTACCTCCCTCAATATTAATAACAAAGATCTTTGGTTATATCTTGTAGAACCTTGTCACCAAACTAGCTGGTCTAAAACAAGTTACCTTCAATGATAGATTCTTAACAGCTTCTCAAACATTCTTAAACACAACCATGGAAAAATCATCCAGGCTCGGTGATTTATCTCTACCGTAACCAAACAGTGCCCTCTTCTCCTCACTTATTCCTAAACAGGCCTCTGAACCTACTGAGCTCTCTCCTTCCTAAACAGACACCACTTCAACCCCTTCTTCATTGAAACATACCCCGTCATCTCTAGTAGACAATTCCTTCAACTCCTCCACAATGCTCTGCGCACTTTCAATAAGACAACCCATCCATTTGTTTGTCAAATTCTTGTTCACCTTTGTAGCCTTCACTATTTTATGAAACAACTTTGAATTGTATCCCAAACTTTAATTCATCTCACCTTCGTCTTTTACTTCTGTCAGATCTTTCTTCCTTAGAAACCAGACCCTCAAATGAATTTTAATAAAATTTCTCCCTTGTAAACAACTCCTTCATACTTTGTTCACCCTCCAAAGCATCCATTTTATTGATTGATCAAATTAAGCTCTTAATCACTCCTACACCACTGATACTATCCATATTCCACACCTCAAGTTGTGTTTCAGCCGCTCCAAAATTTTTTTGCCAAAACTCTCCCAATCCTGAACTAAAATTTTCCTCACACCACAATTTAGAATTGGTCCACAATTACAGCTGAAAATAGCTATCTTTATCAACTTTTATGCACAGAACAAGTTTGCTATCACTACATTGACCACTAATACTCTAACTATGGGTGAATTAGTAATTGATTTGCGAACTTGTTTTTCCCCGAACAGTTATGTGTAACTTACCATGCATACGCCTAAAATATAGCATATAAAGTAGGAAGAAGTTACCCAAAAATGACGCTCCCATTGGCAGACGTAGTCTTGAGGTCACCAGACACTCCATCATAAAACAGAATATCCTTGACAAAGTAACCGGCAGTTGAGGTTCCATCTCCGTATATTTGCAGGTATGGACATGTCATATTAGCCGTACATCCAGACAGCAGACCGTCATTTACCTCCAAACAAAAATCTTGATTACAAGGAACTAACTTACCAGTGGAGGACTGCTTAACATCATATAGAGTAAGATCAATCTGTCGTAGCCAAACAGCCCAAATAAGCAAAACACAATACAAATTCACTACCAATTCAGGAGGCAGAAACAAAAACGAAAACCCCAAAAGAAAACGAAGTAAAGAAGTAGAAAGAGAGGTTTCAATCTCATACACCAAGTGTGCTTCTCTGTGGACAATCTCTGCATTGTATACAGTTGACCCACATAATGTCACTTCCTGTATCAACTTGTACATAGTAGTCCTTGGTAGGTGTTCCAATGCCAATTTTAGCATAGTATAAGCTACATACAAAAAATAATAATTACCCAAACACATAATATGTATATATATATGTATATATGTATATATGAAGAATTGGGAGAGAGAATAATGGGTACCCGACGACATCAGGCCGGCCAGAGCCGCCTAAAGGGAGGTCAACGCCGCCAAGAAATCGAAGAGTCCGCTGGATATCGTGAGCTTTAAGGGCGCTCAAGGAAGGTTCGCGGCCGGCGTATTTGTACTTGACGCTCAGAAAGGCATTGTTGAGAGCGAAGGTGGTTGTGATTTTGGTTGAAATCAAGAGCAGGAATAGCAGTGCGAAGCTGGAGAACGAGGTAATCGGAGTGGCCGCCACCACCTTCATGATCGACACCGTCGTTGAAGCCATGGGTTGTTGCATGGAGGAGGCGACCCGGAAAGGCCAGAAGAGAGAAAGAAAGAAAGAAGGAAAGAGAAGAATTTGTAGAGTCTTTCGGTTTCGTTGAAAGCCAAATTGGTGTGAAGCTTCACTGTAGTGGGACCCACACCCACTCATACGCAGTTGCGCAGTCGCGCAGTCGCAGAACAAAAACTAACTGCTTCCTTTCTTTGTTGGCATCTGGAAATTTAAATTCCGTTGAAGAAGATTTGTCGTTTTAATAAACTAAGCAAATTAAATTGGCAAAATTATAGTAGGCCTAATTTACTAAATTTTTATAAAGGACATAGAGATGGGGTGCGGCAGCAATAGAGAGAAAGAAAGAGACGTGTAATTGTAAGGTGTGTGTTATCTGACTCACCCATGTTCACTTGGATTCCACATCGAGTTGTGTTGGCCGACATCTGGAGCATGACGAAGCCATAAAGTGTAGTGTAGTGAGGAAAAGGATGTAAATAAATTTAAATCTAAAAGTGCCTAATCACACGAGTGCGCAGGTGAGCAGGATTGAACCCATTTCACACTTGATGTCAGAGCATATATATATTTTTGGAAACTATATTGTCTTATACTCTGACATCACGTGTGAAATGGGTTCAATCCCGCTCACCCGCAAACTCTTTTGATTTGGCACTTTTAGGTTTAAATTTATTCACATCCTTTTCCCCACTACACTACACTTTATGGCTTCGTCACCCTCCAAGTGTAGGTCAGCACAACTCAATGCGGAGTCCAAGTAGACATTCCGGGTCGAGGTGTGTCATTATCTCAACCCATTGTGCCTTTATTTATAGTAGTAAGGAACGTAGGATTTCAACTCTAATTAGATAATATCTAGTCTATGAGATATGATAGAATCTACTAAGGATATCCTATATATGATAGGATTTATAAGATCATATTCCTAAACAAATAGGACTGCAACACTCCCCCTTTAGTGTGTAAATACTTAAACAAAACATCGCATCAGCTCTTCAGCGGATGAAGTAGATCAGTTGATGAAGTCGTCGGCACAACGAGCGAATGGGAGTCTCAAATTAAGGAAAGTATGCATTGGCAGTAGAACTCACAAAACCTCACTATGGTAAAACCTAAGGTGGGAGAAAAATCCATAAACTAAGCAGAAAAGTGAGAAGTTGCATTAAGTCAATACTATTTTGGATGTAAATAGAAGAGCTCACAAGAGTATGTCTAGCCCAGCATGGGTGCCTTGTCAAAACCTAATTAGGTAGCAAAAACCTAGTGGGAAAAATGCTCCTAATCGTTGGGAAAATAGTACATTAAGATCAAGTGAGTATACTTTTGGATACTCCTTCTGAGTTTAACAAAACTTCCAAATGAGAACTACAAGCACTGCATATGAATAGTTATTTCATGTTGGTCCTTTTTGGGCTTGTTTGGTGTGCCAATAGGGCCTACCACTTTGTTTTAGTCTCCCGCCCCTCTCTCTTTCTTCCCTCTCCCCGTGACTTTTCCCTCAGCTCTCTTTCTCATCTCTCCCCCTCACTTTTCTTTCTTTTCAATTAGCTTTCCCTCTCACCTCTGCATTATCCTCTCTTCTTCGAGGCACTAACCCACACAAACAAACAAACACCAGCGAACCACCATCACTACCACGTGAACATCGTCACCTCGAACCCAAACCAAGGTCTTGGAAACTTAACAGTGGCAGATGCCACTATTCACCTTATTCCTGACGAACCCAAGGCGAGTTTGTGCCACCCTTGACGTAGGTAGGTCCCTATAACCCTCTAGGTTGTGTTTTAGGGTTAGATTAAAGTAGGTTTTAAGTTATTTTCACATGTTGGACACAGAAATAGCTTAGGGGTAACAAACCCAGTTTCCAGCGAGGGATGCCGTGACTTGCAGGTCGTTTTCTGGCCACGACATAGCTCCAAATTGGTAATAACCTCTTCTTCACATTCCAAGCTTCACTTCCATAGCTAGAACGTCGAAAATGGTGAAGAAATGAGCTCGAACGGAGCTGTAGAACCCTGCCCAGATTCCAACAGACCCACGACCTGAAACCGAGTCTACCCAACACGCAAACTAAAAATCGGATCCAAAACCTAGCAACCAGGCCCAACCCAGTAACTTGACCCAAGCCAGCAACTCAACCCAAACTAACAACTTGACCCGACCCATTGTCCAACCCGACTTGAATCCGACCTGACTCGGATTTGAATCGAATTCGACCCAAGCCGAACCTGATGGAATATTCCTGTTGACTTTTTGTTGACTTTTACGAAATTTGCCTGGGACCTCTCTTAGGGTATTTCGACGTCCTAATTCCAAATCCGTGCTCCATTTTCCCAAATTCAATTGTTTTTGTAGGGTTTTACTAAGTGGTCTCTTTATGTGCATAGGTGTGTTTTTTAGTGGTGACCCCATCCTCTTTAGTTTGAGCGGCTCTTCGGTGACGGAGTATCTGTGAGTGGACCCCTTCCAAAATGCATGATTTTATTACTAGAAATGCATACATGAAAAACATGATTTTATAACTACGTTTTATGAAACGTTTATGAGTTATCTGATTTACGCTTTATGAAATATCTTGCTTTATCGAATTTACGTTCTTTGAAATATTTATGATTATATATACTTATGAACATGGTTTACGATGATGATGATTTGAGCTAGAACACTCTTATGGATTGATGATATGATGTTTGAGCTATTGAGCTCTGATGAGATATATTTTAGAAAGATTATGTTTATGATTTTTTGTGTTTACTTAGTGGTTATTCATATTATATGCCTATGGGTGAATGATTTATATATGCCTTCAGGCGGGTGATGTAGGGCCTTTGGGCAGAAGACTTATATATGACTTCGGGTGGGCGATGTAGGGCCTTCAGGCAGAAGATTTTTATATGCCTTCGAGCGATTGTGATACCACTACTAAGCACACTATATACAATATATGTTTTATGAAGCTTTTATGGCATGCTAGTGTTTTCGAAAAACCTCCTACTTATTAGCTATATGAGTTTTTAAAACTGGGGGTTAGTACGTTTGAAGAGTAATTGTTTTAGTATTACTTATATAAAAACTTGGTCCACTCATGCTTTGTTTTGCGCCCCATTCAGCACTTAGAATCAAGGTGTACAATCCCGGCGTCAGGCCACTCTCGCATTAGTATCTTTGAGTCCTCTCAATTTATAACCCATTCCTTTGTTCTTACCTTTTCATAATATTCCTTCTATAGTAATCTTGATTAGTTGTATGCTCTGAACACGTTCCCACATTTGCATATTCATTATAGTTAAATTTACATATTTTATTTACGTTCGTTCTTTCTTCATATTTTTACATGCATGTTAATATGGCTTTGTCACGCTCGGGTGCCGGCCAGCACGTGCTGACCCTGGTGTTTGGAGGATATTGGGGTCGGGCGTGTCAATTTGGTATCAGAGCCAGGTTTATTTAGAGCATACTTATGATCTTCTTTTACGGTAGTAATGTGTGGGCCTTGATATCATTTGGATGTCTTGGCTTCCGTTTATTGGTGTTTTTTGGGCATAGTTGTGTAATGAAATGGAAAAATCTCAATGAGAGGAAGTTTGGTTAAGACCAGCTGAAGATCTGAAACAATGATGTTACTCTGCAACTTGCATTCCTTAGGAATGGCGGGTAGAGTCGTATCTATATGGAGATTCCTCGAAATATTCGAAGTTTGTATTGGAGAAAGTGAGTAAGCACTAGTTGGATGCGAAGTTTAGCAAATGTTTGTTTGGTTGGACCAAATCAATGTCCTTGAGCTTGTTGTTTCCGCTGAGGAAATTTGTGTGGACCCTCAAAAGATTTTCTTGGTGATTGCATTTCCTAACAAGTGGATGATGCTCCAACGACGTTCATGAACCTAACCAACCAGTTATTCCACCCATTTTCAGATGGATTCATGATTTTCTTATCGATAACTTTATTGTCTACTCCAACAACGAGGTCAAGTTCACTAAACATCGACAGTCAACTTTACATCAAATTCTTCAAACGTTGTTTTTATTTAGATTAGATACTTTTCTTAGGAGACTTTATTGTGGTAGACGTTATTCTTATCCATTTCCAAAAAGGTGGGACTGTTGAAAAATTGAAAATCATCACAAGGTGTTGTGAAATACAAAATATTTTTGGTTTTGGCAATTTCTATCAGCAGTTCTTAACGAAACTTTTAGCATAGCCCTATTTCTTTTTTGGCTAAGAAACTAATCAATTTTGTTTAAGATATTGAAGGTGAACGAAGTTTCTAACAATTGAAGTATTGTCTCACTTAATCATTGATCTTACACTTTTCGATGACGTCGATAAATTTTGAATTCTATGATGATGTTTTATTGAATGTTTGGCTGCACGCTAATGTAGCGTGATTGAGTAATGCGTGTTCCTCTTGACGGTTGAAGCCGCATGAAGTGAACCATTCTATCTACAACTTTGAGTCATTGGTTACCGTTTTACGTGAAAACCTAATGACACCCTTTTTTTTGTAGAAATTTATGTGGGATGAATGTTGGGAACGGAACTTTTTGGAGTTTGGAACATCGTCTTACTTATGCTCCTATCCTTGCTTTTCTTGACATTGGTGGTGAGTGTTAAAGTCTCTGTTTTGCATCCTTGTCACATTTGGGGTTGTTTTCCGATGTAGCATGCCTATACTTCTGGACATCTCGAATCTCATAGAAAGAATTATACTATTCATGACCTAGAGCTGGTAACAATTTCCCTTGTTGTAAAATCTGGTGACGTTTTCTCTACAACAATAAGTGCTGTATCCTTTCTGACGAAAGAAGTGGTAGTGTGTTTTCACCCAAAAGGTGTTGAGCTTGAGACATAAGGGGTCGATGGAACTCATCAATGATTTTCATTGCACTTTTGAGTATTTTGGTCAGGCAAATGTCATAACTGATGCTCTTAGTCAAAAATGCCATGGACAACTTACCTCCATCCAAGCTATCCATGTCCCACTAATGTTTTCTCTTCAAGGAAGTGACTTTATTTTGGCTCTTGAACCATGGTGAGTATTGTCAGCTCACTTCTAAGTCAAACCTGTATTGGCAGATTTTGGGTAAGAAGCCAAAGAGTTTAATCAATAATATGCGAGTTTGAATGAGCAAGTGTCAGATGACATGAGATGGGATTTAAAAGTCTGATGAGATGGAACTCTGTTGATAAG